TGCTCCAGCGTCCGGTCACACCGGAACCCGCGTCCGGTCAGCATTTGACCCTCCATTCACTTTCAACTCTCGATCATACGTGAATGAAGATTGCTCCAATAGATCTAAGGGCTTTTTAGGAGCTACCTAGTGGTAGTTTTAGCAAGTGTGCACCACACCTAACCCACTAGACTCACCTAGGTCAAGCTACCCATCTATACCCCCCTTAATAGTACGGCCAAAGGGAAAAAACAAAGTCCTAAACTACTCTAAGTGTCTTTTCAACACCAAACAACACTTAGAACTAGTCCATCCTTAACCTTGTCATCCATCCTTTGAAAACCGAAATGATTTCCATCGTAGGGGCATGACCAACATGATTGTTCAGTCGATCTCCATTACCATGACCTAACTTAATTGCCTCTGCAAAACACACGTTAGTCATAGTAATCGTGTATTGTCATTAATCACCGAAACCCAACTAGGGGCCTAGATGCTTTCAGAGGACATATGCAACATCTAATCTACTTTTGAAACATCAAAAAACAACAGTTGTAACATACGTCTGAAGGCAGTTGAAACACTTAAAACATGCTTCTAAAACACATGAAAAAAACACCTGAAAACACATTTGAAAATCATGGCAACCATACACAACATCCAAATAAAACACATGCAACGTAGTGTGAAACATATGCAACATCCAGATAAACACACTTGCAACATACGTCCGGAAAACACAGATGAAACATACCTTTGAAATATCTGTAATACTTAAAATATATACTTGCAACATGCTTCTGAAATAATTGCAACATATGCGACATGTGCAACATCCCCCGATCTACTTTGCAACATTCATATGAAACAATACAACATACATCTAAAACGCCAGAAACAATTGAAAAACATACATATGCAACATAAAGGAGGGAAAGTCTGCGCCGGTTGATTTCGACCGCCAAGGGTCGGCGGCGACGTCTAGTGGCGGCTGCTCCGGAGCCTGGCCATCGCCGGTGGTGGCAATGAGGACCGCCGCGACGGCGTAGGGGCGCCTTCGCCCCACGGTCTCTACTCCGTGGTGCTCGCTGCAATACCGGTGGCAGTGGTCGACACGGGCACGGGGAACAACGAGGACTGTGTGGTCTACCTCACGGAGCTCGAGCCCGGGGAGAAGGCCCTCGCGCTGCCGCGATGTGGCCACCACTTCCACGTCGAGTGCCGGGTTGGGGGAAGGGGCCGCGCGCGGGGTGGGGAGGAGGAAACCGAGGTGGGGAAAGGAGCCGCCGGGGTGAGGCAAGAGGACACCAGGGGTGGGCGAAGGAGCCGCCGCCGGCGCGTCATCGGGTCGGGTGTGGAGCAGGACGCAAAAGGATAAGAATGGGGAGGGGTGCGGGTGCTGCGGAGTGAGCGAGGCGTACGCGAGGCGTCTTGAAACGGCTAGAAATACTCTTATTAATTATGTTTTTCCTTTTTTACTGGCATTTGTGGGCCGTGCCGTCCCGCTTGATGTTTGTTAGAGTAGGAGGTGATGGACCTGAAACTAAAAGCCACACACCGCTGCTGTCGAAGGAGGGTTAACCTGAACTGAGTCTGCACGAGCAACATTTATTGGTTCCGAGCCTGAACCGTAGGCGGTAACCGAACAGGTACTCAAACATGTCCAGGAACGACCAGACCAAGTAACCACGCACGTTTGATCCGTTCCTGGGTGCAGAAAGCAGAGTAAATTTCAGAACAAGGATGTCATCATTTTCAGAAACTGCCTAACATAGGCATGATTAAAATTTCAGAAAAGCAGAATGCAGACTTGACTGAATAGTATTGGTAGTTTGGTACATGATGGATTGAAGTGTGGCTTCGATGTAATTCTGCAAGAACTGCGACCTGAACTCGTTGTCATAGCTGTTTCCACCTGACGGATCAGGCCGGTCGGCAGCTCCTGATTTTTTTTGAACAAGGGGCATGCACAAGATGACTACTATACTTCATGATGCGCATCTGCTGCAAAATGTTGTTCATTTCTTGTGAGAGAAATTCAAGACAGAATTCTGGCCAAGTTACCATTTTCATGAATCAAGACTGCTGGGTTCTTGTATTTCACTCGGCGATGCTTTAGCAATTTCTTCAGAGCCCAGGTTTTCGATGTCTTAAAATCAATTGTCAACTTGATCGGGAACTGGTTGCCTGACATCAGGAGTCGTACAGAAAAGCTCAGCTCATCCATGGCTCCTACTGTACTTTGAAGCATTGTAAAAGTATTAAAACTCTTAGGGCCCTTACTGTCATATTTCACAGCTGCATCACCCACGTAATCTCAGTTTCTGTTTCAGCCGCTTAAGATCAGCTCTCACATGGACGGCAATGTAGAGCCCGTTCGCTTGGAGGAATCTGGATGTATCTGGAGGAATTTGTGAGAGCGTGAACATTGTTTTTTCATCCGGGAACAGTGGAATCCGGCTGGTTTTCGTACCGGCCGAACGCAGCCGCAGTGGTTAACTCCAACAAAATCGAATGACCCCTTTACTTTTTTTCCCCTTTTTCAGTGAAAGATGGTAGCCTTGACCCGATCCGTCAGTGGAGGGTAGTTACCACTATAGGATGCATGAACCTGAAACATAAACAGACGTTTTACATGTAGTTTCACAGTAAGTTGTCTGCATGATACCTGAGAATAGAGTGGAACTAACCATCCAATGTGGAATTCCTTCATCCTTTCAGCTACTGCTGCATCATCCGGAGTCTGTGGCTCAAACCACCAACCAAGCAAGGTCAGTCCAATTTGTCCTCCTTGCTCAGCCTGGTCAGCAAGCAAAATATACAGCAAAACATCATGTCTGTGAGAATGACTCATCCAGAAATGTCAGTTTTGCTTTGAAAAGAGATGGCAACATATTAAACCTGGTACTTCTCTCTATACAAGGACACTGCTGAGGCATGTGCAAGCAGAAGATGGTGACTGGTGTGCTGCTATGTGCTATAAGGGAAGCTGAATGGCAATGAGCACCTCTGGTGGCAGAATTCCTTCGTCATATCCACCAACCATTTCAATGTTAGGTTCATTGACAGTGCTCCAGTACTTCACCCTGTTGCCAAAGTTCTTAAAGCACACAAAGCCACAAAATGCAAAAGTAAATGACCCTTCATCTGTTTGTAGATGTGGTTGCAGTAGGGTTAAGGGTTAGGAGGTACTGACACGTACATGAATTTATGACTAATCATCCCATTGTATTCATCTTGAACTGCTTGAGGAAAATCGAAATGATAAATTGTCACTCTCTCTGTCCCAAAATAGATGTTACTTTTGACTTTTAGATATCATGTTTGACCATTTATCTTATACAGTTTTCTTTTAGAAATAATAAAATAAATAGGTTATTATTGTTAAAATATCTCTAATGATAAAATAAGTCATAACAAAGTAAATAATATTTATACAAAAAAAGTTGAATAAGATGAATAGTCAAACAAGATGTCTAAATGCAAAAACCGTCATGTATTTTGGGATGGAGGGTGTACATGAGGTTGTATTCCTACATTAAGAGAAAAAAAAAGATGCATCACACATATTTGCACAGTTGGAGACTCAAGTACCAAATCAGATTGAAAAAAATCAAAGAAAAGATCAGTAATAATTTGGATATCAAAAATTGGCCACATCAACATCCACAACTTTGTTCAAGCTAAACTACCAAGCACGAGAGTTGGGAGCAATAATCCGAACTCTAGATTGAAGCTACTGTTCATGAACAACAACGAATTCACATACATTTATCTAGATCGACACTACATGAATCATAACAATACAATACATCCTAAGCGTGCACATCCATGATGAACAAGCAAATCAAGCCGGAAAAAGAAGCGTGCACATTCACCCAGCTAGATGGCACTGCGGATGGTCCCCTGTCCTCTTGTGCGTCGCGACGCCAATCTAAAGGAACGGTGAAATCCTTGGTCTCCTGCCGCATGAGGTATAGGGCTACTGCTAGGGTTAGGGAAAGGAGAGAGAGGAGTGGAACGAGATGAGAGTGAAATGTCGGTCAATCACGGTTAAGAAGAGAGTTTCTGTCTATCCAACAACCATGTGTTTTATGTAGTTTCAACACATGAATTTTTTTGCACCATAGAATTAAGATCCAACAGCCTCTACCTTCTTTTCTACCTCCAGCCTTTAGCCTTTTTCTATCTCCAGACAATCACAAATAACAATATCACAGATTCATAGATAACAAGAAATAATTTTTTTCTATGAAAGGACAAATCACAGCAGAGAAAAAAGAGCTGCACGTTGTCGGAGCAACGTCAGAGCTCTTGGCGGGATTGGATCGATCTTCTCATCCTCTGTGCATGCCAACGTTGCGCTTGGCCGGATTGGATTGGACATAGCGACGGCGTGAGGCGGACGTCAAACGGCGTGGGCAGACGTCAAAGCTGCACGTTGCGCGGCGTTAGCAGAATGGAGGGACAAAGAGAGAAGAAAATCCATGTGTTTTTTTCCACTAAAACACATATGTGTTGTATAGTATTTATGTAAGAAAACTCTACATCTTGTGGTCTCCAATTCATCAATGAGAAGGATGCATATTTTCGCTGACTGAACTCACGTGTCAAGGCCTTGTTTAGATGTCAAAAAATTTGGCAAAATGCTATTGTAATGATTTTCGTTGTTATTTGGTAATTAATGTCTAATTAGGCTTAAAAGATTCGTCTCGTGAATTTCGTCTAAACTATGTAATTCGTTTTATTTTTTATTTATATTTAATGCTTTATGCATACGTCTAAAGATTCGATGTGACGGAAAATCTTAAAAATTTTAGTAAAATTTTAGGAACTAAACTGAGGAAAAGCCAACCAAATATGGACGGAATGCAAAATCTCGTCTGTTCGCTGTCGGGCTCATCGCCCAATCGGCCCCACCACCCGTCCTCGTCTGTCCTCCTAACCAAATGCCACCTAAAAGCAAAATCTCGTCTCGCCGCCGTCGGGCTCATCGCCGTCGCGGTGCGTGGGTGACCGCGATGGATCCGAGCCGCCCTCTGCTTCGGCGCGGCGCCTTCCTCTCCTCTTCCGTCCACGCTGCAACCGCCCTCCTCCTAGTCGTCGTCGTCCTCGTCCTCGTCACGCTCCTCCGCCTCCCCCTCTCCACCTCCCCACACGCCGCCGCCACCCTCACCGACCAGAAGCCTCAGGAGCAGACCTGCGATCCTACCTCCCCACTCGACTGCGCAGACCCGCGCTTGTTCCATCTCATGATGCGCAGCGCCATCGAAGCCTTCCCGGCCGTCCATTTCGCCCGCTTCGGCCGGCCCGTCCCTGGTGAACCCCCATCCTCCTCTTGCGACATGGCCTGGCGCGCCCGCTCAGACTCCGATTCCCCCTCCAAGGCCACTACCAAGGACTACCGCCGCTTCGCCATCGCCCGCGACCCCCACACATGCGCCTATTCCGTCCTCTCAATCGGCGATTACCATTCCGGCCCCAACGCTCGCAAGCCCCGCCCCGGCGCCACTAATGCCACCATCGCCACTCCGCCACCGCCTGCGCTCTCCCGCTCCCAGTTCATCCAGGGCGCGTACATCGCTTACCTCGGCGGCGGCGATCGCTGCAAGCCCATGCCACACTACCTGCGCAGCCTCCTCTGCGCCCTCGCCGAGGCTCGCTACCTAAACCGCACCCTCGTCCTCGATCTCACACTCTGCCTCGCTGCCTCCTATGCCGCCCCCGGGACGGGGGGAATGCCTGAGGAAGGCAAGCGCCTTGCCTTCTACATCGACGTCGAGCACCTACACTCCCAGGTCCCCATCATTGAGGAGAGACAGTTCTGGGCGGACTGGGACAGTTGGGGGGTGCAGGGCCAACTCCGGGCACGCCTCATTGAGGACACCAAGCTTGCACCTATAAAGTCCTCCAAGGTGAGGGACACCCTCATCGTCAGGAAATTCGGAGACGTCGAGCCAGGGAACTACTGGTACAATGTCTGTGAGGGTGAGGCAAAGCATTTGCTACGCCCATCGCGCTCGGTGATGCGCTGGGTACCAAGCTTGATGCACATTGTTGATGATATCATCTCAAGGATGCAACCAGCCTTTGATTCGGTCCATATGAATGCCAAGGGTGAGGACCTCAGACAGAGGGTTGAGGAAGTTCTTGGTGGAGGGCGGCAGGTGTATGTTGCGGGGGAGGGGGTCAACAGTGCGTTGCTGGAGTCACTTAAGGCAAAGCGCATTATACATTATCTGGATGAATTTGAGGACCTGTGGGGGACAGACAGCAAGTGGTTCTTGGAGATGAAGAGGCTAAATGGCGGTGTTCCTGTGGAGTTTGATGGGTACATGCGTGAGGTTGTTGATAGAGAGGTCTTCCTCAAGGGGAAGAAGAAGGTGGAGGTGCTCCGGTGATTTGTTTTCTTCCCTCACCTAGATAATTTGTTGTTTGTTGATACATCCTAGAGAAATTGTTGAAAAGCACAAGCGTGCTTTTGTCAAGCTAGTCTTGTAAATCTCACTATATCTGAATTTAGTTCTCAGACTCATCCATATGGGATTTATTTTGCTAGCCACTATCACTTCTGTGGAAATTTTGGTAACCATCAATATATGTATAGTTTTGTGCTTCTGATAGCACCGGTTCCATTTAATTTACCAGTTTCTTAACACTGGTTGCTGCTCAGTTATGTAAGAAGGATTTGTAATGTTTATTTTGCTATTTACTTCACTTCATAATCTCTATCTTTTCCTAGGGGTTTTCCACTACACTTAAACATATGTTATCATTTTTGTTTCATTTGCATGGGTGTTTTGGCTGCTGGGCATCTCTGTTGTTGAGCTTTGAGTGATGCACCAGCAGAAGTACAGTTCTGAATCCTGTTTCTGAGAACAAAATCCTGCTATGTATATGAAATAAGGATACCTGTGTGAGTATTTGCTTGCTAGCTAAAGTTATATGCCTTCCTTGCACTCCTTCAAAATATAATGACTTATGAGTTTATCCTAAAATCAAACTATTCTAGGTTTGACCAAATCTATAGAGAAGTGTATTAACATATATCACATCAAAACAGTCAAATACGAAAATCTATTTCATAATGGACCTATTTGTACATTGTGCTTTTTGGAATTGTAATATTATTGTTTGTTTCTATAAACTTGGTTAAGCTTAAGGTAGTTTGACTTAGGTCAAACTCTAAAGTCCATGTACTTTGGGGTGGAGGGAGTATTACTCAAGTGCTGGAAACTGAAATATTTCATTTGGACAATCTGGAGTTGATCCACTTGGGGTGGAGGGAGCATTGCTTAAGTTCATGCAAAGATTTCGCTGTTTGCTTTACCATCAACCCGACACTGATAACTGATAAGCTAAGAAACAGAAGGATCTGCTGTGATATCTCAGTACTAAACTACTTGCATGCATTTCATTCTATGGAACATTCTCTGACCATGAATTTCTTTCCATGTGCCTTTCAGGTATAAGGTATGTTACATTATGACTAGCATATTCCGTGTTTACCACTATGAGTTGCCTACCTGCTAGTTTGTGTATTCCAGCGGCTATATGCAGTTTGTTTTGATATAGAATTATAGACATAACTTTGCAATTGATAGGCAGCTTCTGTTAGACATTGCTAAATATCTTATAACAGACCCTTTTTTTATGTATATAATTTTGCTTGATGACACAAAGTATTGCTTGAAAATTGAGCTTCTACTAAACTTACTCACCATACAATAACTGTTGCAGAAATGGGTTTCTGTGGACTTTGCTGAGGTATGCTTCAAAGAGTTTGGTAATCGAGTGAAACACTCAATACTGTTTGGTGATCACTGAACCTGCCTATGGGCTACTCATCTGTCTTGTTTGGACCAGCCAGGGTTTACCATGGAAGAAGGGAAACTGCAGCACTGGGGATTCAGGAAGGGAGCTTCGCAGTCTTAACCCTACAGTAATGTAGAAGCAGTTTGTTGTATGAAGAAACATGCCAGGTCAATGGTGGATTTTTGTGGGACCATGCACTCTCTCAGTTCGTTCAAGAATGATGAATCAATCAGAAATTTGTGATGGTAGAAAAATTGACTGAAAAAAAACCAGGCACTTGATGAAAAGCCATTAATAAAAGGTGAGATGGAGGAATTGGAAACAAGATGGAAAAATATTTACTACTTGACAGCGGTACACAGCAGATCTGGATACAAACAGGAACCAATGTGCAGGTACAATAAGTAAAGCACAACTGAAGATTGAAAGCACTTGCATGTACAAGTACCAGAGGATGAGATGGAGGGATTGCAGCACATGCAAACTACTACTAGTAATTTGTAATATCAATGGACTGTAACCTGCATAATAGTATCAATGACTCAAACCTAACAGCAGCGCAACCAATTGTGTGCATAATTTCTGCTCCTGTACAGTACAGCCTCGGGGGAAATTTGCTGTCCCATAGGGCTTTATTGGTGTTGGCAAGGTACTCAATCCAGTTTCTGGCAAAAAAGGAGGGCGTAGTAATAGTTTCCAGGTCATGAACTTCCTCAGTGATGGACGTTTGTGTCAGGCTGTTCTGCATGGCAGTTGACAATGCTAGCTTCTGACTGCTTTGCTTAGGGGTAGTATTGGAAGAGGAAACTCTTACAGCTGCAGGAGAATGAAGGGAAAACTGAATCACTGCTATTACTGCTGCAGTGTCAGTGCCAGTGTAAACAATTTTTCTGATATCATAACACAGTATTTTGGTGACAATAGACATTGATCACAATGGTACAGAAATTGACATCTTATTATTATCTTGGCCAGAGATCCAATACAATTGCACACTTCTAAGTTCTAACAACTGCTGAACTATCAAGAACGAAAAAATAGAGGGGAAACATGAGGATACTGCCTCTGTTACACTGCTTTGGCACTAATATAAGTTTCTTTGACTAGCTGCTCCACCTGTAAGGGGAGCTAGACACTGGAGCTCTAGGTGAGTCGGAGCTGCAAAAAGAGGTGCTCCAAAACTCCACCTCCATTTGCACTACAGCTCCATGGAGTTGGCAGCTCCATGGAGTTTTGGAGTTGGGGTGTTTGGCTGGAAAATTGGCTGGAGTTGCTGGAGTTCAGCTCCAGAGCCATGCCAAACACCCCCTAAGGGTGCACACTGGATTATGACACGAGCTCCAGACGCAAGCCTGTGATGATTAAAATAAGGTTAACTCCTTACACTAAGGGAAAGCAGAGAAAAATATATATTGGTTTCCTGAACAAACTGCAATCCATGAGAGTATTACTCACCTTTCTTCAATCTTGATCACTTTCTCCATTTCGTCACGGAATGATACTACTCTTGAAGGTCGTGATGATGGATCGATCATCTTTTTGCTCGTACTTCTTGACAATGTCTTGGATTCTTGTTCACCACCTACATCTGTGGTTATGGTTACCAATGTCCCACTTGTGGGTTGCTGAAATGGTGCCACCCTGATTTTTTGTGGGGTAATTTTACTTCTGTCCTCCAAATTATCCAAATTTGCTATGGAGACTTCTTTCTCAGAAACACTGCAACATGTTCCTTCTACGTTTACATTCTATGTAGATGAACAGTAGACAGAAAGCTAATTTTGTACAGAGAGATCATGTTGAAGGAGACAGGCATTGAGATAGTGATGGGCATGATGGAATTTGTTTGTTTATAAGACTATCAGCTAGTGAAGTAGAAGAATGGGCATAAGTTTCTCACTTGCATCAGTTCATCAGAAAGGATAGTGAAGAACAGGAAAAAGGAAGTAGAAAAGTTACCTGTTATGGTCACAATATGAGGAGGGCCTAACATTGGTGGACACCACTTTGCCTGACTCACACCTGTTATCTGCGGTTTGAAGCAGTCTCCCTCTGCAATGGCCGCAGTCTCCTGAGTCTGAAACTCCTCTGGCTCCATCAGCATTTCTAGGACGCATGATGAGCGTGCCAAGGGGAGACAAGACTGGAGATGAAGGCAGGAACTCAACATGTTGGGTCAAGTACCGGGGCTTGTGCGTTGTTCGCATGAGACTGCAGGCAGGGAAATGCTGCCTTGCAGACATGGTCGACCCACAAGCCACGAGTCGCATCAGCAGGTTGGCAGGGTTCAGCTTTGTGGCCAATGACTGTACTGCTTCCTTGTCGTCGTCCTCTTCTAGGATCCTCTTAGCAGTGGCACCCCTTCTGCCAAGAGCCTCAGCCCTTATCAGGGACTCCAAAGTCCCACTCCTACCACTTCTGCTAGAGGAGAAAGATCCTGCATTTCCTGGTTGCTTGTCGTTGGTAGGTATGGTTGCCTTGGCTGGTGTGCTATCAGTACTGCAACTAGTGTCCTTGTGAAGCTCCGTCCCTGTTGATGTTCCTTGGGTCTGTGTCGCCAAGTCTTGTGCTGCTGCGATGACAGAGCTGCACCCTGGCATCCTCTGCTTGTTGTGAAGCGTAAGGCTAGATGGAGTGGGAGAGCTTGCGCCACCTGAGGATCCTTTTGTTGTTGGCTTACTAGGAGAGGAGGGGCTGCCTGAACAGCTTGAATGTGCTGATGCTGTCTCCTCATCTCCATCCCCAATGGCGCAACAAGATGATGGTGATATTGATGATAGTGCTGGCTGTGACCCTTGGTGCAGAGCTAGAGGTGGTGCTTCATCCTCAACGTCGACCTTAACCGTGGGAGGAGATGATGATAATGAATTGGCAGTCCATCCTTCTTGCGAATGAGTTGGTGACTCTTCATCAGGATTCGGCTTGACACTTGGGACCTTTGGAATAATAGTTGTGTCAACATTCGGCTGGTCATGATCTGAAGCAAGAGAAAACAATATGGAGGCATGCAATAAGTAAGTAAATCCAATAATTTGTTAGTCAATAAGATCAGCTTGGCCATACATGCTGACTAACTGAGAGGTGGCAATTGGCCACAATGCGGAACATATATTATGTATATAACATACCTTTTAGTGGTGGTGCAGCTACAACTATAGGTGGTGTTGAGTGGCGGAGGGGCAAGAGGGATCCCTTGAGGACATATTCGCTTTCCTGGGCGGGGAGCAGCATATCATCCTCCATCACATCATGCCACACGAATCCGGTCTTGTACCTCCTGAATTGTATTGCATATGTCAGTTGCCAGAAGCAAGGAAGCAAATGATCTGGATGGTTAAGTTACCTTTTGCAGGACCAGGAATACATGGTGGCCATGCCCTTCCCTCGCAGTGCATCCAGCCGGTAGATCACATCTCTGAGGTAGAGGGCTTGATTTGGGGAGGCGAGCTGCAACTCCATCATGTGTGGGTGCTCCAGGTGCCGTCCGCTGCGGCACAGGTAGTACACCACCGTCACAGGCACACCACCTTGACCTGGGCTGCTGCAGTGCCTCCTTGGTGCCATTCCCTCCATCTTTGCCACTTCC